CCCTCAATTCATCACTCTCCCTCAATTCATCACTCTCCCTCAATTCATCACTCTCCCTCAATTCATCACTCTCCCTCAATTCATCACTCTCCTCAGTTCATCACTTACGTGCCGCAGTCACTTTCTCGGTACGTTCGGTATCAATAATCTGCGTAAGCGATCGAAGTTTTCCTATCTCTCTGGACGTCTACCAGGCAAAGGCCCTCCAATTCATCAAATCTGCTGGGCAGACCAAGACAATACAGCCATTTAGTACTCCCAACCATATGATTGAACAAATCATCTTATCCATGAGCTACAAGCCTTTATAGCATGGATTGAAACAAGATTGAACCTTCCATGTCAGTACTATTAGACAAGTTTTGACCAAATGGAATCCATAGTGCCATAGTGATCCAAGTGGGTCAATCATAATACGGAGAAACGGTTCATGACTGAAACATACGTGTTTCGAACATACCTTCACCAGGTGTAAATTTCCGCAATTGTGGCTCGTCGTAATTTACTGTGGCTGTGCGGTCAAGCATCTGCCCTCAGTACAACACGGTACATACCGTGTAACGGAATTCCTACTCAAACCTACATAGAAATATATTACCGATCAAGGGGCCATCAGCCAAACATTCAGTCTATCCAGTCTATTCAATCCATCGTCTAAGACATGCTTTGAGACCAGTATATGATGACTAATCCGTGAGTAGGCTTAGAGTATCAAGTTCAGCAAATTCGCAACGCCGTGGTGAGCTGGGGGGCCCTAGTGTGAGGCCATCATATCGACAATGCTAGCGTTGTTTATCCTTGACAAAAGGGACAGTGAAGGGGGGGAAATATTTTTATGCTGCGATACATATGCATGCGATTATGCTACTTGATTGCTGAGACTCTCACACCCATAACTTCCGAAATGTCGCTGGAGTTTGTCTTGCCGTGGATGTGACCAGCTGTCTGGTTGATATACATGTAAGGCGGAAGGAAACTTGGAGAGAGGGTAAGGTCTCATGTTCGCCAAAGGATGGGTATCGGGGATTCGCCCCCATGATAGGCTTCATCGCGTTGCAGGCATTGGTAATCGCCGGTCATTGCATTGATAGCATCAATAGGAAGCTGGTCTTCTTCCTCGGTATAGACTGGTTGTCCATTACGCAAGCGACTGATCTCGGACAAGAGCTCACCAATGACATTTCGATGGTATTGCGTCCCAATCTCGTATGCTTCGGATTCACGAGCGATGCGTTTGAGTGCCAATCGTCGGTCCTGTAGCACGTGTTGCTTCCGATTCATGTCGATCGCTGCTGAAAATAACTCATTCTCTCTGGACATTATTGAGGTCCACTCCACGTCGGAAAGAGCTCTTGAGATAGAGAATTCATCCAATCTGGTGAAATAATAAGATATTGACGGTCGATCGAGTATCAAGGCTTCATTTTTCACTTACAACACTGAGTTTTCCTCTGCCATGAGTATTGTATGTTCCAACATCTGCAGGCTTTCGCTGAATAGCCGCAATTCCGTTTCTTTGAAGATATCAAAGCTACCAGAATCCGATTCGTGCAAATAGAGCGAGGACGAGTGATCTTTCCACTCCTTGAATGTACCCAAAAACCTTTCACATGTATCTTGAGTGTTCGAATTGCCGCCCGAAGACGAATGTAGACTTTGCAACTGAGTTTGATAGCGCAAGAATATGTACCCTCTATCTCTGATGTAATACTCTCCAATCGCTTTTTGACAGAAAATAATTGACGGCCAACTTGATTCAGGAGTTCGCCAGTGCGCTCACTAACTTGAAAATTCTCTAATAGAGCATACACGCTGCGCTGTGCAGCTTTTGCAACTTGGGCTGTAGTTGCACCAGTACTTGTCAGGTCGGACATCATGCGTTTGGGTAACTGTAGATAGAGAACTTGTTAAATGGATTTCTCAATTAGTCCACATAGGCAGACTCACCATAGCAAAGAGGAGTAATTGCTGTTTCTGTCCGCAGATATAGTATTGGTGAGCGAAGACCACAGAAGATTGTAAATGATAGAGATGGATATTCTTTGTATTATATTCATAGCAGCATCATTGATATCCTCTGGCACGTCTACTAACCAGCTGTACTACTTGACCGTCTCGAGCACATTCGAAGAGTAACAATACTTATAGAAACTGCTTCACCACTTGCAATCAATCTTGACCTTTGTATTCACATTGTAGCGCAGGGAAACCTAATCTACTAGGGAAAACCTACACTAAGGCCGAATTCAAACTAATAACCAATGGCTTTCACTCCAAATATGGCCCGCCTTTCTCTGATCGATGATGCTCAGCAACTATCCTATCCACACAATTGCACCCGAATGTAGATGTGTTGCAGGTTGCAACCACCACTTAAGACAAACGGTGTGCAGTGTTATAATAACCACCATTGTCGCGGACGGAACGCCCGTTTCCGTGGGACTGCATGTGGCAATCTCTCAAAGGATTGGCGCCTGTCGCTCTCGTGAACAGAACGCAGTTTGGTTTCGACGTACACAAGTTAGCGCATGCGTCCCAGGAGTCTGTTGTTGGCCGTCCCAGGTCCCAATTGCTATAATGATTGGCTAATAACCAATCATGTATATTAGCAAAATGCCACTAGATTAGAAACAAGGCTTACCCTTCCCATAGAGAAACAGCCATTTTTTGCCACCGACAGTCATAGCACATCCATCATCTTGTTTCACTTCGGATTATCAGCAAATCGATCCACGAAAGGACTCCAGGTCAAATGTATTTGCAGTAAGCTTACATGGGGGGTTCATGGTCCGACAAGGTTTGGCCCATTTAATAATCGCGTCATATTCCTGCTGAAGCATTTTCTTGTTGTTGTCGACTGATGATTGAAGCTCAGATATTTTGTCCAGATGCTGCTTTGCCTCAAGCACAAGCTGGTCATTAACGTTATGTATGACATGTCTGATTTTGAACAGCGAGTAGATCTTTTGCGTCCAAGCATGCTTGCTTTTCCGTCTCGAGACGAGTGGTCTCATCGCTAAAGCGTTGTCTTTCCTCTTCGCATGTGTCAGGTACCGGAATAGGCTCTGTTTCGGGGGTCTCGGGAGTCTCGGTAGTTTTCGTGAGTATCATCCAACTAGTATGCGGACTCTGGCGATACGTATCTCCTTGGACAAAAAAGCAGTTCCCTCGCGGGCTTACTCCATTTGTTTGCCAGGCCGCCGCGTGACAAGTGTCGTCATTTGCACAGAGCGAGGCGCATTCGTGAGCATTCACGGCGCTCTTGCCTTTGGGCTCTGTAGGGGACGGGTATGAGCGACATTTATAATGGAAGACCACCTGGCTGGCGGTCTCTTTACCCTCAACCTGCCCGGCACTGGAGCAGCAGGCATTAGGGTCGGTGGAAGTTAGACAGTTGCGAGTGGCCTCGAGAGGAACCTGCTGCGCTAGGGCACCAGCAACACCCAACAGCACAACGATTGACTTGGACACCATGCTAGCAGCCTGCAATAATATTGATGTTGAAATCGATGGGTTATTTTGTGTGCTGCACTATCGTTGAGTCCATTTAAGCAGTTTTAATAAGCAGTGAGTAACGTGCTCTCCTTGGGGATGTTCACCACCCCTTACATGCCCCACATCATATCCATTTACAGCCGTATCCGCTCATGACCAATTCAATTAAGGCGGCATGTCACGGTGTCAATTTTGTTGAGCCGCAGATCTTGTGGCTGGCTGAACTTTTGTGATGTTTCAGTCTATTGCATGAGCCCGCATAAATTATGCATCACTGCTCCGCATTTTCTTTTTGTTTGATTGTGCCTCCTGTAGATAACTTTTACTATAGTAGGACGTTGAACAGAGAGGTATGCTTAATAGTCCGTAAAATATGATATAGTATAGATGCTATAGTATGCTACATTGCACGCTGTATAGAGAGTTTACGCCGTATTTCTTTATTTGTTTTTCAGCTGTAGAGCTTGTGGCTGGCTCAGATTATGCCACGAGCCAGTCTATTGCATGATCCCGCATCAAATATGCATTGCTACTCGGCATCTGTACTATGTAGTCTACCTCCCGTAGATCACATTTATTATAGTGAAACTATCGGCAATTAAATAGAGAAAGTCTGAGAGAAAATGACATGTCATGTTCCACTGCTTATTACATAGCTTTATTGATGGAGGAGAGTGGAGACATTTCTCCACGTCGGCAAGAGAGTCCGCAAACCAATTTAGGTTTTGGGCGTGGTGCAGTCACACATTAAACCTAGAATTAACACATTGCAGAAAATCGATGTCAGGAGTGCGCAGGCTGGTGGATGAATCCGAGTGAGACCCAAACAGGAGTAGGCCCGCTTGCCATGTCTTGAATGCACTCGGCGTAGGTACCATGGTCACGGAGCAGTGGCCGGTGACGTTCAATATCGTTGCTCGCCGGGTTGTGATTTTATGCTCTTCAATATGATCAAGATGCTTGTAGAAGAAGGGCTGCTGAGGTCTGTCAAGACCGGAAGGACGGCTTTCTAGCAAGGTATAAACACACTTAGTTACATCCATAACTATTGAGAAGGACAAGTGATTTATCCGATCCCATTAAGAGGAACGGTCCTAGTAAACAACATATGAAGTCAATAAGTTGGATAACATGTGGTTATTTCCATATAGCACAACAAACTGCAGAACCGGGAGAAGACTAAATCACTGAGAGTGTGAACCTGAGCTGCCATGAGGAATATAACCCTAATGCGTGGCAACAGGCATGCCGACCGAAGAAGCTCCATTCGGTCGGGCCACCAAAACCTGCTGAGACGGAGCAATAGGGGGGCAGTATTGCAGCTCATAACAAGAAGGATTGGCATTAACGGAACACCTCGTCCCATCATAGCTCGTCCCCTCAGGACACTGCGGATCATCCTTGGACGCGCAGAAGAACCCATTGAATTTCTGACCGGGTGGGCACTCGGGCTCCGACGTTCTGACGCACTTATCATCCTTCAAGTCCAACCCAGGGGGACATTCAGGCCGCTTAATCGACACGCACATTCCCAACTGGAATTGCGTACCAGGCGGACACTCGGGCGCCCTCTCAACGATACAGTGTTCCAGAGATGATCTCGTTCAAGCGTTCGGCCGGCGATCGCGCGTTGTGATGGCCTGTGCCGACGTATTCCTGTGCCGGCAGTAGGCCTAGGTGTTTTCGCCAGAGTTGGCGCCGCAGTGTTGCGGCCAATCGGGCTGCTCGGTAGGGTCTTCCGTTCATGGTGCTGTCGATAAAGTCTTGATACTACATTACGATCACTAGTTCGCTGTCGTGCGATCCCAGTTGCGACTGTGGTTATCAGCCGATGATACAGGACAGAAATGAAGTGTCACAATACGGAGGGTGAGAGTTTGGAGACGTCGTGCTATACTTACCGATCGTTTTTGTTGGCACTGCCGCAGAACATGGTGCGGTCGTCGACAAAACACACTTTGCCGTGCACGTACAATTCCTCCTGGATCGTCAGACATCTTACCGCCGTTCACATGGTTCAGTGCGACACTGTGTCGTTGCTGTGGAAGCCATCCTTAGCCTCGCGCTGCTCAGCCTTTTCTTCCAACTTCTCCAGCTTCTGCAGGGTGACTTTTTTTTGACTTGGGTCGGCGGTGTAGTCTTTCTCGTTCCGGTCACCATCTTTGCCGACCGTCGGGTGCACACTTTCACTCATGATGGATTCGGCAATACCGCGCTGGATATCCTGGTATGTAACATCGGCTTGCTTCTCGAGTTCTTCCAGAGCGGGCGTCTTGTTGATTCGGTCGTATGCGCGCAGGGCGAATACGACGACTTGCTCTGAGGCGTGTTAGGATGCAGTGCATCGACACGGGAAAAGAGAACCTACCGCGGGGGCCAACGCCCTCCTTCTCGACCTGCCCATCTCGATCTGCCCATAGATCGAGTGCTCGCCACGACAAATCGACTTGTACTGATAGTCCATGATTGCCCGAGTTCCCGTCGCGGCATTATCACGTAGATCACCAGCGAAGCCGGGAATCGCGGGGATGACAATAGTGACGCGGAACTTGCGGCCTTCGTTACCTGCTTTCTCGCACGCATCGACAATACCCCGGCCAATCGTGTTGAAAATTCGACGCTGCTGGTCGCCAATAGCGATGACTATATTTTCCGGGATCGTCGAGATGAGAAACTACCGGAAAACATTTACTTTCAAGCTGGGTTGATATACTCTCGAGGTGATAGTGTTGTAGCATGCTTTTGCCCGGCGGGATCTGGCTAGTTATCGCGAGCTGCGCGTGCTGCGCTTGGTTTGAGTGTTTGGCTCGGGTCGGTCCCATTCCTGGGAAGGTACTAATCCCACCCCACACAGGACCAACAGAATGCTCGATGTAGGTTGCCTGCCACGTAGATTCATACTTTAATGGTTACAATAGGTTATTGACAAAGTGATACGGTGTTACGCACGACTATTGGGTCGTCGCTAAGTTAGAAGGTTCCAGGTTATACTTGCCTGATGCTTCTCTGCTTCCAACATCAACGATCTGTCTCTCAACCATACCGTTGCCTAACAGGCCTTATACGGGCTAAGACCTTTTGAGGGTGTCGAGGAGCAATGCCGGGTAGAGCGCCGGTCAGATCTATATCGGGGTATTGGTCTGGTCGTAGTGATGTCAAGTTATAATCAAGGAAAGAGTCACCAAGGTTTCTGAACAGTAGACACAAGTAACGATGTATGATTGAATACGAAGAACCAAACCAAGTACATGAATGAGTGCCCTTATATATTCTAAGTTCTTCCTTGGTAGAACAGTAGAACAGTTCTAGTATCTACTAGAACTGTTCTACTGTTCTACTTGTCCACTGTCGACCTTTCTGCTACCTGCATAATCACGTGGTTGCCGTCTCATTGGTATGTGCGGTGTTGGGCGTGCACAGGTTTTCCATCCTGTAGAGCTACATATAGACACAAAAGTTCTCACCCAGACTCGCCTCCAGGTTGCAGAGTTCAACAATATTACTTTTCGTTATCAACCAAGGAGTTGGCTTGCTGCGTGGGGGAATGAATCTCGCCTATAAGTATCGCACATATCCTGCTGTCCTCATGAAGCTCACTCTAATCCAAAAATCTTTCCTCGCCAAGTCCCATCTTCCATTTTGTGGAAAAGCCGCGTATCATTACCAACTTCCATACAGATCTCTTCTATGCGGAGACCCTTCACTCAGCGCGACATATGAGGTGGGGTGGCACCACAACTGCTGCGGGCCTTATTTAAAGGAAATTCGGAGCCCGACGTAGAGAGGTTTCGTTATTCCTGCCGAATGTGCCCATTAGATGTTGCATGCTTCGCCAGCACGTTCGTTATCAATTTGGAGTCATCACCATTGGTTCTGGGGTGTAATTGCTGTAGGACAAATTTATAATCTTTTGCTTCTCTAGACATTTGTTCGAGCATTCTGTTTTGAGTAGTTAATACTGCCGTACCAAACCTGACCGAAACGAGTTTCACCTTTCTGTGCGTTCGCACTTCCTCGAGTTATACCAACAATTTATCTGCAGCGTATCACAGCGCTCGCAATTTGGACGCTCGCCAGAGCATTTTGACTTGTTTACCTGGCAAGGTCTGCACGCATGTGTTATTCGTTTCTTTGGACATGGAGCGGCGCGATGTAGTGGGGGGATGGGCATTTTGGGGTTTTCAGTTTGAGTAACAATAGGCTGATGCGAAACAACGTGTTTCAATATCCTGGTATCTTTTGAGTCCGGTGATCCTGAAGCAAGAACAAGTGCTATTAGTAGCCAAAACCTTGAATGAAGAGGTTCGTCTATACCCTGGTCAAGAATCCTAGATATGTCCATATTGGGGTGGGGACGTTGGTTTCCGTGAAAAGATACAGACACGACCCAGGTTTGAGATTTTAGTTGACCAGTGAAGACAGGCCTGAAAAGAAGGGATTTTACTTATATATCTGCTGTCCTGTCAAATTAGCAACGTCGTTCCATGCAAGGAGGCCGAGTAGTATTTACAAATTTATTCTTATTGGTCGGATCTCTAGCCCCAGACTTGAAAGTACTTTCCAAGCGACCCGTCCCGCTCCAGAAACTTTTTTGGTTTTCCCATAACTTCCGTCACTGCAACGATCATGAACGCAGTGCGATGAATATTGAAGCAATCAGCTGATGCTGCAATGGTGCCTGACGCAGTCAAAAGGACCCTCCGTCATCCTGACACCTCTCACTCGATATATAATTGCATTTGTGCATTTATTGGGGAGCTGACCTTCGCATGGAAGGCTAGCAATTAGTCTTTCATGAATCTGCCTGCTACTGTACTTTAATAGTCTCTATTTCCCGGATCCACAGTACCTATATACCCCTGAGATTAACACGCAAGTTCGGTGAAGCTGTTTTTTTCGTTCTTACTTTTCTGTTTCTTCAATTTATCGTTTCAGGGCCAATGGGCGCGACGCGCGCGTCTTCTCCGGTTTAAATACGGATTTAGCCATGTTGTATTAGTGCATCATGTGATTACGTTGAAAAAGCTTCTCTGTGTTCTGCGTCATGGAAGGGGGTAGCGGTCGCTACTTGTACTCCTGCGAATCAAACAACGCACCTCAAGCTCCGATCTATTCCAGGTCTGTACGTGACTTTGATGAAAATCAAAGTGCTTTTATGCTGAGTTCAACCAACTTACTTGAATCGCTTACTATAGTTGGTCGGGGACCAAATAGTATATTCCGCGGGATCCACTCGCCGCAGCACAGTAGCAATTCAGCGGCTGCGCTCCATTTGAACGCTGTTGGCTGTTCTTGACAAGCCACTGACACGTAGTGGCATGCGGGCGACTCCGTAAGGGCTATACTCTGCAGCCGCTAGCATACTAGTTAGTATACTGCTATAGAAATAATATCCAACCGTGGCGATTAATTGGGCTGACTTTCCAGTAAGTCCAGCGCTCATTGGACAACCACCGCTTGGAGTACGGGGAAGGTCGCAGATCGGATGTGTGCTTGTCGACTGCATTCGCGGTCGTCGTTCTTGTAAGTCTCTCTACGACTTTGTCTAGCGCCTCGGCTGAGTCTAGCTCCCCGGGTTGCTCGAAGAGATCCAGGACATCCTTTCCAATCTTCTCCCAGTCCGCTCGGTAGTACGCCGTTCTCGGCTTAGTGGTGGGGTTGCGCCGCGCTTGGAGGTACCATTCTGAATAAGTGCCTCGGTGATCCGAACCATAGTTGTCGTGGTAGAGGTGGCATTTGATGAGTAGGTCTGGTCTGTTTGTCACTGTCTGGTTGATCGTGGAATTTTTTTCCCGGGTGGCTTAACGACCAAAAGGTCGCGGTTCCCCGAGGGAGGCAGCTCTGAAGGCCATGATCATGAAAGAAATTGATCAGTTCGCCGGCGTCCTCGATGAATCGAGCTTGAATGCGGTTGTTCCCCAACGCTGGGTGGTGGCGATTGAAGTCCCCGGCCAAAATAAGGCTAAAAAGGTTCTGCTGTCGTCTCGTGTGACGTTTTGGATCGTGTCGTGGATTGCCGATAAGGTCGCCTCCGCCGATGCTCAATCAGGCGTGTGCATCGGTACGGGCGGAATGTAGACTGAGAAGATCAGGGTCTGGGAGTCGGCCGTCCAGACCTTGATCGCGTCAGGTCCGGGTGGTTGCATCTCACTTGTCGGTGAGAGGAGATGGAGAGTTTGCGATTGACAGATAAGGCTTCGGAATCGAACCGAATCGCTCTCCGCTGTAGGTTGATATAGTCGCCACACGCTGTGGTTCACGTGTGCTCGGTAGGCAATAATCGACGGTTCCTGGATAAGGAGCATGTCTAGTTTCTGGCTTTGATGGTCATTCATGAGAGCTTCCATGCCCGCCCTCGATTTCATTGTGTTTTAGTTGTAGAATTTGGAGGTTGTTCTCTAACATTGCGATGGGGGCGCCGTGGCTGGCGTCGGGCACAGTAAGTCTCCAGTCGGATGTTCACCGCTGCATTCTAGGCAGCGCGCTCTGATGCCCGGAGGACATCTTTCTCGTTCATGTTGGCCGCATCGGGGTGTCTCTTTGCAAGACCGCTAGATGGCCGAATCCTTGGCATCGGAAGCACCTTTTCTTTTTGATCTCACACTTTTCCACTCTTCCAATGTACCGTTGGTCGATTAACAGGCCATTGTCCAGCATCCACTCTGCTGCCTCTAATGAATCAAACCAGAGGCCCATCGAGGCGAACATTCCCAGTTTTTTGTCTCTTTTCTTCAGCCATGCAATGTCTTCGATTCGAAAGCCGCGGTCCGTGAGGTCGTTCTCGTTTGTGATCTTTCCAATGGCTTCGGTTTTTCTTCTTCCAAGGTTTAACCCAGAGGTCGGGATAAGGTGAACAGCTACTCCGAACCGTGGCTTCACTAGTCTGGTGTCATTGCCCAACTCGGTCAGCCACTCGGTGTTATTGCGGGCCGCTTCGGCCGACGCCTGGTTTTTGAATATTATCTCCCGGTTTGTTGGTATATCCTTAATAAATCTGCATTTATGAGACCAAAGCTTAGATTGTGCCCTTCTTGTATAGATAGTCCACCTTCATAAGGAAATTGCCTATTATATAAGGCATTTTTCTTCTTTTACTTCTCATTTGTAGCCCTCCACAGCTTGGTTTTCCTTACATAAGAAAATGACTCCCGCATCACGCTATGGCACGCTTTGTACATCTGTTCCACAACCTGCTTGGTAGGTGTGGGTGGGCTTTCCGCCGATATTTTAGTAGGTCTTTGGCTGATATTTGGTGATTTGCAAGTTCTGCGATGTTCGCGGGTGTGTATGGTTGGTAAATACTCGATCTGCTTGATGGTCGCTCTGGCGCTGGTGTAGGTGTACGAAGCAATATATTGAGATTTGAAAGCACTGGTGTTGGGTCTACTGGTACCAGTCCTGTGGCTTTGAAGCTATTTCGAATCACCTCGATTTTAAAAGCGCCAATACGCGCTTGCGGGTACACTACGAGGAAATCAAGTTTGTCGATATGGCTGATTCCCTGGCTCATTTTTTGGCCACAAAGATGCTGCACGCACATTTAAAACCCGCAGGAAAACCAATATCGACAGGTTGTAATAAAGGCGAAGAATGCGGTGGCATACATATCGGCATAATATCGTGCCCCGCACACACCTTACCGAATTTAGGTGTAAGATGGCTATCATGACCGTCGAGGATCAATAGTCGGAATCTACCACGCGTGCGTATAGTTGTCGAAGGAATGAAGAGCTCTTCAAGCCAACGGAGCCCAATTTCATCAGTAGTCGAACCATTATTGCTGACCTTCGAAGCACCAATCATGTGGTAGATTAGACTGAAACCAGGATTCCTTGTATAATTTGCCCTTAAAGATGATCACTGGTGGAAGCGCCCAACCATTCGCACCGATCGCCTACCATATTACTCAGCGCAAGTAACTCGATTTTGCTGTTGCGCACACTCCCATCGCGAAGCCAGTTTCATCGAAATTGTATATATCCTCAGGTAGTATACCGTAGGTCGCGATTACACGCTCTACCCGCTCGAACCACTCGCGTGGTACACGAGGATCTTCTTGCTGTGCACGCTGGTGGTTACACTTGCGTGAAAAGGTTGACTTGAGTGCTGGTGTGGGTGCGATATAGTTAGTGACCCGGCCTTTGCCTTCTGGGTCAATAGCGCAGTAAGCAGTAAATTAGCCATTTTTGCTGCCATATGAGGTCGCGGAGCTGCACCACGCTCGTCCATCGATATAATCCACCGCTCAAGCAATTCCTCATCTTCTTTTGACAGCTTGTAATACATGTCCTTCCTGGTGAGCTGAATCTTGGTTCGATCTATTGTGTGCCGGAGGCATGGTGATGGATGGAAGATAGAAAGACGTGGTGGGGACGCGTAAAAAAAGCGGGTGGCTCACTCGCCTATGAATTACGTTATTCATATATTCATGAATATTCATATTCCTTCGGAGCTCTAATGATTAATGACGGCGGGCATGGAAAAGAATTCCAAAAAAGTGTGAACTTTGCATCATTTGAGACGGCCAACAAGCAAGAAAATACGATATATTTTTCAACCCAACTTGGAGATTGGCATGCTAATGGAGACAGTATCCGTAATGAGTTCCAAAGTGAAATTAAAAAGATGCCTAGTCCTTAAAGATATATGGGTCATGTGGAACTGCATGGCACAATGTGGGTGGGAAAAGAAACTTCCTTTAAAACACAACTAATGCCGGGACTCCGTAGATAGACGCGAGTTGAGATATTGTTGATCTTAGCGCACATTAACAAGTGTCAAGACCATGAGAGGGATGATTCGGGGGAGACACCTCCCTTCAAGGCCTAGCTACCAATGACGCATTCTGGGGAAATGAGTCAGAGCTGAATTATTGGGGGTCGGAAGCTTGGGAAGGGCGTTCCTGGGCTCGTATAATATTTTTGAATTTCTAGCCAGGACGAGCTCGCAAAACGCTACGGCTTTTGAAATGAAAGATTCATTCACTCTAGATATATATTTAGATGTCATTTTCTGTATTGACACAGTTCAAAGAAAACAGATGCGCCGGAAGTCCTTTTCTGCGTATTGAGTACTTCATGGACCTGGTGAAGACAAAGAGATCCACATTAATAGGAATCTTTTGATAGGTATAACTGGTGGAACGCAACAAGTTTTCTTAGACAAACGCCTAGTTCCATAAAATACGTCATGACACCCCAACTTTGTATTAATCCGAAACAAAGTCTCATTTAGATCCAGCTGGAAACTGGAAAAGTACCGTTCAGCATTTCCGACTGCGAGCCGCAAATATTTTGGATAATCCTTTTGTACAGGATGACCTCGAGTGCCACAGGTATATTCAAAGTGAAGGGCCTCACGGGCGCCACAGACCGCCTCAGTTGGTGTGAAGTTAGGGGCGCCCCTGGCATCAAACTACAGGCGATCCCTCGTTCTGGGACTACCATTTCAGAAAATACGCAGACAACGTTCAAGGCCAGGCAGATATCGGGCGATGAAACTGCATGCGATATCGTTCTCAACGCAACCCCCTCCACCCCAATTCAAGTGACCCTGGTCTCATCCAAAAAGGAGCTGTCACAAATCAATCCCTACGTGTACGACATGCGCTTACAACTTCACCCAAAAGGGCTCTCCGGAGTTATCACAATAGTTCTTGGAAACGATGTCAACCAGGGTACCGTCACTCTACCAAGCTTGACGGCGGTGGGCGATTATGTCGCCACTTAATTACCAATCTGAAGCCATCCCGTCTTCCGAGCGCGTCCCAAGTGGTGACAAAATATCCCTGAAAAGCCCGTCATCTGCTAGCGTCCGGCCAAAGAATCACAGTCTTGATCATCGTACCCGTCTCCTTTGCTACCCCTTACCGCCCTACCGCGGGGTTCATGAATAGTTGGAGGCAGCGCTAAATTCCCGTTGGAGCGTGATGGAGATAGGTGGTGGGACTGTATTAGGCTATCTAGATCGCTGAGCGAGCTATATGTACAATACGGTTGGCCCGAATACATTGAAAGGCAGCTGGTTAACACCGCTTCGTTTTTGCGAGGTATAGCTCGATGCTAGTTTTGGTAACGGGTTTTAGTTTCATTGCTTTTCTTTTTCCCTTTTTGACCATAAGTCTACAAGTTGTTTCTGAGGCCGGTAGTGTGTCAGGCCTGAACCCATAGTGAGTATACGACTTTCCATTTTGTGGCTTAGGTATGCTGACGTGGACAATTCTGAAGCCATTTCAATGAATTCAACAAATTCAATCAACTGTCAACCTTGTTAGTCCCGCTACTGAAGACTCAAAGCCTCGTACTAAAGAGCGTGTACAAAGAGCCGGAGGCTTTCCATTATGGTGGGGATATCATTTGACAACTTGCGCAACCGGTTTGGTTCCATTTATGTTGTGAAGTCGCATTAATGTTTGTTTAATACCGTGTAGCCACTCGTTGAATTGCCATGTCCTCGTTGTAGTCACTATTTCGAAGGTCCTCGCTCCCATTGGTGCTTATACCTTCAATTAACCTCATCGCTTGGGATGGTGCCATTACCGAGGCAATATAAGGATGGCTCGCGAATGGATAAACAGTCTTTCCAACCCACTTACTCTGGGTTTGAACCGCTATTACCAGTTACTCAGTGCTAAATGGAGAATCTAGTTAGCGAAGCAGACGATTTATTGTTATAGTCTCAATCTGGAGCCATTGTTTACCAGTTTGGTACGACTTCGCCTGATTGTGACCAATGATTACGTCATTACTGAAAGAAAAGCGAAGCTAAAACTTCAAACGAGAATTATCGTCCCTACTCAATGTGTTTTTCTTCACGAGTTCCTGATCATCCTGTTTTTTTAGCATACGTCATATAAGAACCATTTCGGCAGGCATTGGGGCTTACCTTGGCCAGTCTGCAAATTTTAACAAAGCCAGAATGCCCTGCGGACATCATGATAGATTGAACAATGTCGAAGCCGCATCTATGGAGTATGCGGCCGCCCATTTTTCGGTGGATTTTATCAGAACATTTGCGGGTGCGAGTAGCGGAATCGCGTCCAGCATAGTGACCTGCCCCCTGGATGTTATCAAAGTAAAGTTGCAAGCTCAAGGTGGTTTACGGCGAGAAACAGCCTCCTCTCGGCTTCCGCACGCGAATCAGAGCTTACTCGGCGTCGGCCGACAGGTGTGGCTTGAGAAAGGATTGCGAGGAATGTACCAGGGCTTAGGGCCAAGTGTACTTGCTTACTTTCCTAGGTGGGCCATTTTCTTCGCTACCTACCATCGAAGCCACGAAGCTTTCGATGAATGGTTTGGTAAGTTCATTCGCTTCTAGCCAACCGTGACTCTGGGAACTGAAATTTGTTACAGACGTAAATAGCCAGTGGGTGACCTCGTTCATGTCATCGCTAACAGCGGGGACTTTCTGCATTACTGCTACCAACCCAATCCTAGTTATCAAAACTAGACTCATGTCGCAGACCAGTATCTCCAACAGGACATATGCGAGGCCGGATTGGCAGTACAAGTCGTCATTCGACGCAGCTCGGCAAATTTACTCCAAGGAGGGTATTCTAGCTTTCTATTCCGGTTTGACACCAGCCCTACTCGGGGTATCGCATCTTGCGATCCAGTTTCCTCTATACGAACATCTGAAGAGGACATTCACGGGATCAGGGCTCGGAGAAGAGAATGAAAAGTCTCGCTATAACATATTGGGAACTCTAATGGCAGCCTCCGTCAGCAAGATAGTTGCCAGTTCGGCAACATATCCTCACGAAGTTATTCGAACCCGGCTTCACATGCAGCAAAGTCCGAAGTTTACGATACCAGCATCACCGTGGTACGGTGGCATAATGGTGACCGCTAATACAGTCTGGCAAAAGGAGGGGTGGCGAGGTTTCTATGCTGGTATGAAGACGAGCATGATACGAGCTGTGCCAGCCTCGGTGACGACCATGTTAGTTTACGAGAATGTCGTCAATTTATTAACGACGCTTAAACTCGATAGCGAAAGAAAATTGGAGAAGGCAACCTTATGATTAGTGGCAGAATTTGAAATCTTTTGCCATAAACTTAGTTTTTCCTACGGTAAACAAGGTGCAAAACGCGCGTAACAGTGCATGCGTGCATGCCGATGCTCCCTCTAAACGGCTGGTATTCAGTAAGCACTGGGGCTCTGAAAGGATCTAATTATTTGCGGTAGGCGTGTGTTCTGCGTGCGCCATCTCCTTGTCACAGCTGGCATGTTATACAAATATTCAAGAACGCAGCAGCTGATCGTTCTCAGAGGGGCCTTGGAATGTGGTAGTTGAGTTGTTTGGGTTTGCACGCTCCCTCGCGCACCAGTTTGGCATTAACAAGATCCAGACTGAAGTTTGCATCAGCACTAGGTATGTGAGCTGGTACAAATTTGCTATTATACCAGCGGACAAGGACTAATTTTCACCGATGCTGTTATATATAGCCGGTAGCGGCAGTGTAAGTGGTTAGCGCTCTGAGGCAACCTGCAGGATGACCAGTTGGTCACTCTTCAATATGCAGGTATCGGGTGCGGGTCCCAACACTGACACAACAATAATCACCATCGCGTATCTATGGAAAGACATAACAACCCGTGGAACTACCTCAGCCTTTTCACAGGATAAATTGAAGGCAATCACAGGCCCCATTAGGTGAGGCTCAAAGTTCACTGTTCAGGAAGCTTGGGACAATCTCAGTGGATCAAACAAACATGTATTTACACAGTTGTTGTAGCCTGCATATCGTTCGCGAAGTTGCATCCCAGGTTACGTGATGTATATAGGTCTGTAGGAGTGGCTGCCTGTTATGCTGCCACTCCGCTAGGCAGAAGGGAGATGAGTCGCTGCGACTATAAGTAGCTGGATCTTTTCCCATAGACTGAATATGATCATCACACTTGTATCTTAATCCAAGGTTCCAACTCGCAAAGCGATATGTAGGCTACAGCAACTATATATATCCATGTATGTGCATGTATGATGTTCCAATTCCTGAAAACGAACTTAGAGCCTCGTCAAGGCCTATTGTGGCCTAATTGCCGTTCCCGTTATTAGGCTGCCCTTGTGGCGCGCGACTTCGAAACCGCTGTGACGCCTCGGCGAAGTCTAGCACGGCTTCGACCGTCCTAGCCCACGACACGCTGTCTGGTTTACTTCTCTCACCTCCTTTGGAGCCTCCTAGCAGCCTCGACACGCTATTGAATGCGTCCCCCACTTTTCTCCTTAATTCCCTTCGCAATTGGTGGAGCCTTGGACAGTCCAATAGCACATGGGTGACTGTTTCTTTGCGCCGCATGCGCACCGATCGTCGTCACAGAAGCCAACGGTTTTGCGGTATATGGATAACCAATTGTGACCCGTGCGCAGTTGCGTCAGCAAGTACGCCCGGTTCCTGGGCAGATTTCCGTACAGTTTTCTGGTGTAGGTGGCTGGTAAAGCGCTGTCAATTCTCCGCAGGTGACCGCCTTTGGTGGATGAATTCCATTCCCGCTCTCACTGGGCGCGGATGTTACTGCGAGTAAACGCCTTCTCCCTTGTCAGCAAAGGGCGGAAGGGATGTGTTTTACCCGGGCATGCAGCGTACTTGGCTGCGTCGTTTCCTGGATTATCGCAATGCCCCGGCGCCCACTGGAGACGAAGAGCTACTCCCGTCGCTTGAACCTCCGTGGCCGCCTGGAGAATGGCGTGGACAACCCTTTGTCCAGATTGATACCCACGTTTTGGATTGCCTGCAAGGCTGATATGCTGTCACATAGGATCGTGGCTGTCGCATTTCCGCTATCTGCAGTTCTTAGGCGCTGATGAGCAAGCTTGAACACTATGCTGATAGCATAGAAAATCACTATCAGTTCAGCTACGTGAACCGACCACCGGTCCATCGGTCCTACCTGGACCTGCTTCGACTCCATGACTTCTAGGTTGTTGTCAAGTGCTACCAGCACAGTGACAGTCTGGCATAGCAGACCGGTCGATATCAATGGAGAGAGAACACAGCCAACCACTCCCACGCTCGCTTCGGACGTAGAGAGCGATCTCTGTTGTTGGTGATCGTACTGGACTTGATACTATATCATGAATGAAGAATCTGGTGAATAACTGTAGTCATATTGGGAAAATGGGATGATGCTGATATCTTTTGTGAGAGAAGACTGCATATCTCCTGAGGTATTTGTGACGCCTCAGGTCGCTCATGTGCTACTGTCAGTGGTTCCACCACTACAATATCTTGTACGTGCACCTCATATTTAGTTCGTTCCTAGTTCCTACCAATAATTAGTGATGGCTGGTTTTAGTCAAATACCTAAGGAAAACAGAATTCAGGATAGGTTATAGCCGGATGGCTCTTGGTGGTGTTGTTACAGACATCAAACCCACCTTCACGTTGAATTGCTCGAACAGTGATATGCCAGATATCGTCCAGAGCGCGGTGAGTATCACAAATATATAGTTGATGCTCAAAGGACAGTCGACGTAGGGGACCTAGAGAATCCGGGGATCTCCTGGCAAGAGCTGCTTGCGCGCAATATGTTAGAAGACGATGTCAATGAGAGAAGGATACACGCGGTCAGCTTGACTGACCTGCAGCTGCAGTGGCATCCAGGGTAAATGGTTTTTGCACATATTGCTCGGACTTGGGTAGAGCAAAGCGTGCTTAGGCATCAAACTACCAAACATATGTCCAAAGACACCACAACTCTTCTGACACCCACATGATGCAGTTTCATGTATGTTCGACTGGTTCATTTACGCTCGCTCGATTTCGTCGAACAGCTCAGCAACGCGGAAAGGGATCAAGTGAGACTGTATCGGGCGGTGATTCTTGGCTCAGCTGTGACTCGGGACCAGACGGTCTCGTCTTCTCGGTTCGTAGCTGAGATGACCAACGTTAATCTGTAGGCTAGAAATGACGGGACCTTTGCCTCACCTTCTCCTTGCACGCAGACTTGGACTAACAACTTGGCTGTCTGCGAGAGTACGGCTCACCTGTCATTAAGCAGGATAAAACATCAGGCTTTATCGGTGTCTGTCGGACATCCAGGCTTGGAAAGATGCCAGATGCCATCCGAGGACAATGAGGATCACCCATTGGACGGCAGGAACCCAAGCCACAAGGATGCTATCCCTTTGACGGTGTTCGAATGTGGTGCGACAAACAGTGGTATGCGCTCATTGGAATTGGGTCTTGTATCAGGTTGACACATGATCTGATGCACATAATCGACGGAGGGAAAAAAGCCGAGGTATTAAATTCGGGCGTTCCGGTGACTTATCATCGATGCCACCAGTAGTCATGTGGAAGTGATAGACAGCATGCGATCGCATTAGTATAGGGGAGCTCGAGCAGGCAAGACATTTGCTCGCTTCACATATGACTCGAGTGACAGGAATATGAGGGTGTCCTGTTGTACGATCCGAGTCAGCCTGGATTGATCCAGTTGGACGAGGTGTTGTAGCTTACCTTGTTCATGAAGAATCCCCAGAGTGTACGCTTGAGACGGGACGATCACTTAGCATCGTGATCATATCAACTTACCAACTAGATCACTTCCAGTTCTCTTCGGCAATGCAGTCACCATTCATGCCATGTTGCATCCAGGTTCGTCGCACTCTCCGGCTGTCGCTTCGAGGAAGCCGCCTGGATGCACCGGACAAGTTCCCGTGACGAATCCACCTGTGACAAAAATTGTACAGTCGTAATGGGAGACCGCTTCGTGTAGACGGCGAGAGGTTGAGGCACTCCGCCGTTCATGGTGTGAAGGCGGTGAGGGGGAGAGCGAAAGACGCGATGGAGCGCGTCGTAGTGTCTTATCTGACTCGGCGGGAATAGGTTACTCGCCACAACATTTTTCAGTGGCAATGGGCTGCTCCTACAATGGCATGAAAATCAGTAATGGTGTTCGTGTTTTGGGGTATGTACAAGACTTGGCACAAATAATTGGATCCGGCGCAGCAGGAGGCGCGATAACTCACTTACCTTACCATGAGGTCTCACGCTTTTGCGCGACGAAGTTTGATGTCCGGACCCTGTTGTGGAATCATTACTGCTCGAGCCATTATACATTCGACTAGACGTTCAAGACGTAATAATCGGTTACTAGTCTCCGACAGACTTCTCCTGCCTCTTGGCTAGTGGAGGCACCCACCAAACCTAGGTAGGAAAGCTCTGCTAGTGACGGAAGTGGATCACCGTGCTCTATGATAGCAGCATCAGGTGCTACCCTACCTATTCCCCCTAAAATTATAGCGAGGTCTAATCCCACCATTCAGGAACCTCTTGTGTATGATGAGTCGGCTGCTATATCTGCCTTTTTCTAGGTTGGGTTGCCGTTGGCTTCGCGGTGCAACCACAGCAAGTCCGGTATTGAGTAAATCCCGTACCCGCGCCCTATTAGGTAAGTCGACCCAATGAGTTAACGTGTTTGCCAAGCGAGCCGCCACCCCAAGCGAGCCGCCATCTCCAAAACACATAGTAAATGCGACAAATTATAGCTTCATGTTTCAACCACCACAACTTAATTTAATTTCCGCTACTAGCAGATAGGTATTGATAAGCATTTTTAGTAACATATAGCAATTTTAACGAAATCGAAGGTTTACATTATTGTCGTATTGAAAATTACGTCGCTAGGCTCCAAAAATATATATATGTTAGTCAATAAATCATTAAGTTCCATAAAACTGCCTAAAGCAGCTATATATCATATAAAAACCATAGAATTAAAAGGAAAAATTAGTATAGACAACTGTTGTTGAGATATTAAGTTGTAATCTATCGCATTTACTATGTGTTTTGGAGATGGCGGCTCGCTTGGGGTGGCGGCTCGCTTGGCAAACACGTTAACGTTAGCCCGTAACTAACTAAACAGGTGAACCAAACATGGTTTGCGATTGTGGGGGGCTAGCACGGTGCACACCTACCCCAGCTGTCAGCACGTGATCCAACGGACTCGCGAGAACGTAGCTAATAGTTATTTATTTTTTTATCTTGATGATGGGAGCCGCATGCAAAGTAAGCAATTAGTCGTGCCGCATGAAGTCGGGCTGGGAGTTAACTACATTTCAGCATCACCCCATATAGGGGTGGCCGATCGTATTGGGCCCGTGCCATTTCGCTCAGAGTAATCGATGGACGATTGACAGATCGACCCACCTGTCGAATAACCGAGGCTTTTGCGCCCCTATGGCACACCCAACTTCTGACTTCAGATGTAAGGCTTTCCCATAAGTAAGCTCGAGGATACCAAGTGATGAGGCCTCTGATCAATAAGGCCAATTTGCTAGTTCAGTTTGGTTAACACCGTACTGAGGCTTGCGTCCGTTACATCGCAAGCCGCAGAATCATCGTGCTCCATATAACATACTTTGACCATCATTGCCGGAACCCACTAGGAATTTTTGGCGTACCCCTGGTTACTCACTCACTATCTCACTCCAAGTTATGATATTTTTGGCTTGTACCTGTCCTCGGCGTCAAACGATACGTCTGATGGTTTGCACACAATGACTGTCGATGCACCCCAATCCTCGTTAAATACTATCAACTTCGTTACCCAATGTCTGTGTATCCCCATTATTACTATATTTGTGGCACTGCGGTTCGCAGTCCGTATATATTTTAACCAGTTTATCCTGGTTGAGGATGGTACGTACACAACCTTACTCACTGAGATTTATGATATTGTGCTGACCATAATTCAGCTTTCTGCCTACTCGCATGGGCAAGTAAGCTGTCTTCTTACTCCAAATATCCACTAACCCTTCATAGGCTTTGTTTATGGCTTATTGCGGCATTGCAATTGTTCGTGAGTAATTCTTCTTTCCTACCGCAGTTCGGCGCTGAGTAAGGAAGTGGGAAACTATGGCGCAGGCTATCACTACACAGTAGTGTCAGATGATTTCCAAGTTACCTTTCGCAAAGTAGTAGGCCTACACTCCTCAGTATTTTTCATGCTAATATAAACAGTGGTGTTACATTGCGACCGTCGTCTATTGCCCCATGATTCTCTTCGTGAAATACGCTCTTCTTTCTATCCTGATCCGGATCTTTTCCCCATACAAATCCAGGATCTTGTTTATCTATGTCCTTCTTGGTTGCCTTACTGTCTACTATATGATCGCAGAAATAGTCAAAATCCGGATGTGCGATCCGATTCCCGCGTATTGGACCCTAGATGCTGGTGCAAGCTGTCTCGATCAACGCGCTGCTCTTATCGCCGACTCGGTCATCAGTGTGGTCACTGACGCTATCATTCTTGTGTTACCACTTCCATTGACCTGGTCGCTTCAGATGTCCCGGAACAAGAAGATGCGTGTGGTCGGCATTCTCTCAGCGGGTGGCCTCGCGACGGCTTTTAGCATCTACAGACTCATTTTGGTTCTGCGAGACGGGAGTTCCATGAATATGACGGTAGTATTTACTTGTGTCATCCTCTCAGGGTAAGTTTCTCTCAACCCATGATTTCATACCTGAAATACATCAATTCAAAAACATAGCAGAAACGCAGAAGGCGGCATGGGTCTGATCTGCGCCTGCCTGCCCACCCTCAATATCCTTATCAGCAGACTTCGCAAGGCAGGGTACGGTTATGGGTCGAACCAATATTACCCCCAGGATTCATCTGTGCAGCTCAGCAAAATAAGAGGCAAAGACTGCAAGAGAGATTCAATGAATAGATCAAGGAGCCCCAAGCACCAATTTGTTCCTGGCTCCGACCAAAGTCATTTGATTTCGTGCGCAGATCCAGTGGGCATGGCACCTTCAAGCGATGGGTACATTCACATGACGACGGATGTCTCGCAAACCGTGGAGATTATTGATGGACCTGAAAAAGAATGTCGTCCGCTTTAAAATCGGGTCAGAAGGACGGATTTGCTGGAGCTTTTATCCCAAGTGCAAGTCACCCTTTTCATTTATTTGGCTTTGAAGGTAAAGCGCAATCCTACATTTTAAAGCTGCTTCATGGGCGCTTTTCGAATCACTGCCTTTTGCCCAAGTCTACCTATAGAGGTGCATATATTATAACATCTTAATTCACCTGATTGTTTCTTCAAAGCCACTGTTGTCACACCCACCGGTATGGATCCCGAGGTAGTCTTCGAGAAGGCGAAAGCCATTGTCGGACGATATCCAGAAGCTCAGATTGAGTTGGAAGGGGCGGACAGAGGGGACATATCAGCCGCGGATCACGAGATGCCAGTCATCCTCCAGAATGTTGTCACGAAGCTTGGTTGGCCTAAGCCCAAGCTTACTCCTGACATCGCGATTTCTTGTCTCCGGTATTGGAGATATCGTAGGATCCCTGGGTTCTGGTATGGCCCTGACGGTGACAATGTTAGCGCGGCTAACGAATACGTGGAGATCGAACAGGTGCTCCACCTTGTTCGTACTTACGTGCTGGCTTCGGCGCAGTATTTACAGGAAAAAACCCTTCGTGATGTCCGCAATGATAACAAGGAGCTTGTTGGGATGCTTGCCTTTGTTGAAGGAATCCATGTGGACATGAGCGGAAAAAGAATAAAGCTCAACAATGTTTTAGCTTTTGAAATTACTAGCAAGGAGAACAAGATCTTTTTCCGCAAACCTGAAATTCCTCGAATCTAAACGCTCAATTACCTTCCTGTCCTTAATACGGCCTTTTTAGTTTAATTTCGACATAAATGAATAGTCTAACTGCGATGGAAGCTTTTGCTGTCTACTGTGATTGTCATTTGTTGCCAACGTCAATTGAAATCGGATATAGTATCCTCGAAAGCTGATATCGTTATTTCAAGGACTGCGGTCGTGTATAGAGATGACACAAATCCCATATTATGCGGCAATACTAGATAGTTCTGGTGACGTGATTGCAACTGAAACTTTAGTGGTTTCTCGTGTGTTTATTTGTGTCACCGGTGCCGTTCACTAGCCCCATGCCATAATTGAAGCCCAGGGAAAGAGTCCAACGCGGTCAAGATAGAATTTGTTATTTCATAAATCAACTAGGTGCTTATCGACGGACTTGATGGAATTATAGGTGGGCCTAATTTGCATCAATATTGGAGGGATTGACCATCAGAAAATTGTCAGATGTCTTTGTCGTGACAAACGAGCTAGGAGTGTTCGTGACTTGCACGGCGCCATTGAAACAACATCTAATATCGGGATTCTTTACTTCCTTCAGGTCAATTAGTTGATCGGATACCATGACCTAATTGCCTTTTTTTTATAGCAGGGACAAGCTATGTTGAGATTCATGATGCTCCAGGCATGTAATGCCCACTCTTTCAGGCATGAATTTAGTGATCAGCATTAAACCTACCATTGAGAGTCCATTGAGAGTATAGTTCAGGAGAAATGCTCTTCATTTATATAGGATCTCTCTCATTGAGAGAGATCAGGCTTAAACAACCTCGCTGGCCTTGACATACATGCTTCCCAGTAAATTCATCGTGTAATTTCAACAAGCTAGTATTAAACGGGAAAGCCCGACTCGTGGTTTGTGGTTATTAATGTCAAGTTCGGAAATATATTTTCTCCATGCGCGTTCATCACCAGCGAGCTGCCGAATGAGCCACATTGACAATCAGCTCTACATCCAATCATACCCATTCAAGGCACCCAACGTCACTGAACAACACATCTTTGAATGCCACTGGACGTACGCATAGTTTCTTCCCCAATAAATCCTTCAAGCCGTGATAAAGGTGCTGAAAAACCAAATCAGTCATTGTCCTGTGATGAATGTAGCCACGCCTTTGCTACGGCCACGGGCGTGCATCGGCCGTTGATCGACGCTATATTGATCAAAGTCCACCAAAGTCATAAACTTGAACACTTGGCATTTGACCCACAATACGATGAGACTTAATCAACTCCCCCGACCAACACGTTGATCATTACAGTATCACTAGTTTAGATGAACTGCCAACTGTTCGCTGAAAAAAAAAAAAAGGCAATTTCTCGCCAAAACCTGTCCGCCTTGATTGGCTTCTGCGGTGACCGTAAGACTCAGTACATAGTCACCTGCATCGGCATTGTATATAAAAGACACTAAGGGTTTATGGAAACGGTGCTGTAGAGAGCCTTGACCTACACCTATGGAAGAAATGGATGCCACAAACGGCTCGCCAGGCCCGGAAAACAAAGCGACCAGCAGCCCAGTAAATTGCCAATCCTTAGTGTAGAAGACAGTTTGCAAGAATCTAATACTGTCCCTATAGTTAGTTCTCTACCGCATTAGGATGATGGGCACTGATCAAACCAGATCCCTAGGTCGGTAGCCCTTTGGGAACCCTACGTATGATATCCTACGCAGACCGCGGTACCTTTCAATCACCCATTGAGCATCAGGGTTCAATACGTATAAGATGCCAAGCACTTAGGCAGTGGTCAGTCCTAACGTAACCAAACTCAGACTAGTGTGTTCTCATATAAAGGCCGGAAAGCGACACGCCAATGTTAATGTGTAGGTTGTGCTTGAATTAAACAGGCTCAATGAAATGCGCAGATATTCTTGGTGAAGCCATGGTGATGCTGCAAGCCAAAACAATCAGACAATAGTAGTTTGTCGCCTGTGCAGTGATAGAAAGTTCGGGGATGCGGACAACACGAGGCTGCGCCCTCCATCCTGTCAACCGTATCCCTCTCAGCCTAATACGGACCCCTCCGTTGACTAGTAGAATGGGGAAGACCTATAAATTGACGGAACCATAGATGCTAAGCAGTGGGATGTTTGGAGATCGCATGGGTCTGTGTCTTTGACTGCAGCAACCCCTGGTCGTGGGTAGCCAATCAAACCTGTACACCGTAGAGCAAAATAATGTAGGTTGGCTGCATTCCAGGAATTTTGGTTTTATCTGTAACTCGAAATTTATAGGCAGCTGCGTTAGCCAATGACAGAATGCTCTGCATAGCCCGACCGGGATTCCTCTGCTAAAGGATTTCAGTGGTCTCACCAATCCGTCATCCATCTATCCCTCCTCTAATCCTCCTCTATCCCTTGTTCACTTCCCATTTCTCTTATCAACCCCCGGACTTCCAGCTGAAATCTCCCTCGCAAATCATTTAACAGTGCGGAAGCCTGGAAGAGAGTAGAAAACATCACCTACAATCTTGTCATAATCTGGCACAAGGAAAGATAGTGAACAAACGTGTTTCCGGGGCAATTCTCTTGCTGAACCATACATCCCAATCTACCAATCATCAAAAGTACAGTAGAATTCGAAAACAGGTTATCCCCAGACACACACGCTTTCTTTCCCAGCCTTTCTTTCCCAGCCTTTCTTTCCCAGCGCCTCAGTCCAATCACTTGTGTTCCTGTTCAAAACCTATGGCTGCGCCATACAGCAAACAACCTCCTGTAATCCAGTCAAGAACACCTCCTGCGCGTGCGACGACTGCCTCCGCTAAACCCGAGAAGAACCACCTGGGTGGGCGCTGTTCTACATCTGACCCAGAAGTGCTGGCTTCGTCCGACGATGATAGGAACCTCGCGCCGCTGACGCAGAGAATTACTGCACCTGCAACTAAGCCAGAGTGTCGGGCCTGATGGTTGAATGACGTGTCACTTGCAGACGAGCAAAAGCAGTCTCTGCCGAGGGGCCCGATTACTTCTGGTGTCTCATCAAGCACTTTTAGTGACGAGGTACCATGGACAGCAAACACCAGCGCCAGCAGGAGGTACTCCAACTGGAGTCAATCCTGGAGAATCTCTTTCCCCTTGGGCATTGACACCTGCAACACTGAATCCCGGAAGGAACTACCACCGCACTTGTCCGAGATAGTGACCTCTCCGAAAATGGCCAACCCCTCGCCTGCGAGTGGCCCTCTTGATGACGAAATGCTGAACCCCATCACTCACACCATCCTCACTGAATCAGACATTACATGCTCGATCCCTTTGCATCTGACCCCCAAGACCTGCTGTTCCCAGTCATCCTCTGTCGGGCAGATGTCTACTTTCAAGCCACATGCTCGGCGGCCAAGTGTGCTCAGGGAACTGCGACACGATTCCGCCAGCTTCGGCCGTGTTGGTGACGAGAGCCTCAACAACCCTGATGGGGACCTCAGCCACCCCGCCGATCAAGCTCGGACGATCGAGCAGCTGGCACGCGAAAATGCTCTTTTACGCCAGGAGGTTACAGGTCAAGATCTTTCACTTCCTCGCATTCGGGGTAGTATGTCTAAAGAGGATCTCGTTGTAGAAGATCTGGGGGAATTGCGCGACGTCCAACGTTACAGTAACTTGGGCAGCAACGCGAGGCGACCCTTTTCCGAGCATTCACCCGATTTAGAGCAGCGATTTTCATCATTCACTACGGAGTATGTTCGCAAGTCTCATCGGCAGACCGCGCCTGGGTTTGGAAGCGTCACCGATATCCCTCTCAGTCGTCGCCACACATTTGCCGATATTCACATGCGTCATACCTCTATCAGCTCGGTTGACTCGCACGCATCTGCTACCACTCCGTCTGGGCTTAGAGACCGCGATGAAGGGTATGGAAATAGCAAGTACTTTTCCGACCCTTCTATGCTTCCCCAAACCTTTTACCCGTGCGGACAGACATTGTGTGATGAGTGTTTATCGGACATTCCGCTCTCTCCCAGTCGATATGCGATTTCTGGTGCTGATGACCGTCAACCGCAACTCTTGTCACACACACAAAAAAATCAACTTCTGTACCTTGTTACATTCAAATGTCACCGCGCAAATGTCTTCTATGTTCAGAAGGATAGTGATATTAAAGTGAAGGACGGTGATCTTGTCATCGTCGAGGCTGACCGAGGCACGGACTTGGGCACTGTACAGCATGTCAATGTGACAATACAGAAGGCGCGCGAGCTCAAACAGCAGTATTCCCAGGAGCACTACAAACGGCTCATGTTTTTTTCCCACCAGGGACAACATGAGGGCCCGAACTTGGCCAATGCAGGCCTGCAAATCCTCAATACCACGGGCGGCATGGGCACCCACGCAAATGGTGTGCAGGAGACCGGTGCAGATATCAAGCCCAAGCTCATCAAGCGCCTCGCACAGAACCATGAGATCGAAATTCTGCGTAACAAGGCAGGAAACGAGGCCAATGCTAAGCGGATCGGTCAGCAAAAAGTCGCCGAACATCGGCTAAACATTCAAATTCTAGACGCCGAGCTTCAAATGGACTGGAAGAAACTCACATTCTACTACTTCGCGGATTCGTATATCAACTTCAACTCATTGGTGGCCGACTTGTTCAAAGTCTATAAAACCCGAATCTGGATGTCCGCCATCAATCCTGCCGCTTTTGTGATGCCGCCGACAGCCGGCCTGCAGGGGCCCGGTGGGTTGAGCAACCCACTTTACAGACAAGACGAACAATATACCGATTGTCGCCACCTGTATGACGGCTTAGCCTACAGTGGAGTACCGGATGCGGTCAATACTCAATGTGAGGGAAGGGTAAACCAGGTGGGCATGCTTTGCACCGCTTATAATGAACCTTACGAACCGTTCGCTCAGCCATCACGCCAAGTGGCCGCGGCGCAAACTGACGCCTTTACCCAATTCTCTCCGGCCACCCATGACGACATGGAGATGAACCCGTCCGACTATCTCGCTGGCAATGCCGGCTCCAGCTGCGCAGCCTGCATGCACCCAACAAGGCGATTGGACTGGCCGATTCCAGGGGATATCGCTCCACTCCTGATCTTCTATATACCTCTGCTCAATTTGGAGATCATCCTTTGTAATAGGACCGGCTATTGATCACCACGTTTGTGGCTATGTATTTTTATTTTATTCTATTTTGTTACCTTGACCAGACTTCTATTTTTTTTTTTTTTCTTTTTCGAAATGCTGCTTAGCCAAATCCAGAGCCCAGACCAATCGTAAATGCATTTGCCGAGCTGAGACTTGTAGATCCAAACCCAAAGAGGAACTACAGCTGTATTAGAAATAATGCAAATGTGATGGAGAATTTCATGACAAGCGAGGGGAAGTCTGCGCAATGACATTTTTGATCTCGTATCAAAAATACGCTATTTGTTTATGTCCTGCTGCGCGTCGTTAGTGGTCGGGACTTTCGGCCGAAACTTTGAAGCCAGGGGTTCTTCTCTGCAGCAAATGGTTAACAGGGAGAAGGAGACATGCACGATTAGGACTGCAGTCCAAGCGATATGATGGTGGCCAAATGACACAGTGTGTCTAGTTTGTCCATTTCAAATATAGCGATTTCAAATGTGAGAGACTAGGGTATGTCAGTGGTAAATCACCGAGTTTTAGTATGCACGGAACAGACGGACGGGGAAGACTAAAGGAGAAACACCTGTTTAGTGATGATCAATTGCTAATTACGAAACCTTGCTGATTCACTGATCGTTGACAGGCTATTATGACACGGCATTTTTGGTTGGGGGACCAGTACTTTTGTTCTAAAGTGATCCGCATTCCGAGTCCGCTGGAGCTTGGAAACGTTTAGATTACTCTAAGGATTGCCTTGCTCTAGTCCTCGGCGAAGTATTTCCATAAAATATCTCCAAGCTGTCATCCGGCTAAGCCGGAAACTACTTCATTTGCCCGCCCAGTGCACATAGACATATTGAGGCTCAGGTGGTATTTCCATAATTGGTGAAATTTCGTCGTTCTAAGGTAGAGGCCCAAGTCTCAAAGGCACCCGCCAAGGCCATGGTCGGCGCATGAACCTCAACATGGGTATGTGGGCAATTTTGACAGTCGCATACGTCATAATTAGGGTGACCACTAAGCCAGACAACGGTTCCAGCTAGGATATCCGCTTGGCTGCAGATGTCGGCTTCCGTGGCTAACTTTGATTGTTCGATGATACCTACAATTGTTAGACCAATTATTGACTGGCCGAATTATAAGGGCCCCTCTCTATAAATCCCTTCATCTCCTGCTTTTCCTTTCACACAAAATATCCACCATTCAAGCGCCCTGCTTGTCCAATCAACCATCCAAATGTCACTGGCTACAAATTCTTCGGATGTGATCATCATTGATTCTAAGCCTCCCTCCCTGTTCAATCTGACAGCCAGTAAGACTACTGTTGCGAGCGCTCGTCCAAGGGTTTGAGTTTCAATTCCTAAGGAAAACCATACTATCATTCGTCTTAAGCGGCTTTTGCTTGTGAATACGGGCTGATATAGTATTTAATAGCATCCCCGTCGTTACAAAACCGTGATGAGAGGGGCTTTCCTCATTTTGCAGTTATTTACATCGATCAAGCAGGTAATATCCGCCATAAAACTTCGACTTCCATCTCTAAAAATCGTGACCGCATCCTGTCACCAGAAGTCACAACCCGATTTCTACAAGCGGTCTCGGCATTCGAAGATAATTCAGATAAGATTCAATGTTGGTGAAATCCTTGACTGCATCTTGTTTGTTAGACTAACCCGAAGAACTGGAATAGGTATACAGGCAACGCCGCCTCTCGGGCTGCTAAGTCGCGGAACCTCTGCCCAACCCAAACAAACCTATAACCTTCAACCAGCGGGGCTATCACAGACTCAGGCTCATATCGCTAGACAAATAGCCCCAGCACCTCATGAATTGCCAGTCCAGTGGCCTGAAAAGCTAGTCCATCAATCTGTGAGAACCAGTGTATCTTCGCAGGATGAGGTTACACCACAAATGGCAGAGACCGTGTTAAATTCCAAGAATATTATGATCTCTCTTGGGAACCCAAGCGTTCTTCGTCGGTACTACGAAAAGGTTTTCGAAAATCTGCTACAGACGAATTGCAGGATTCTTGCAAAAGTGTATGTCAGGCTTGTCGAGCCGCGGAAACAGGTCAAATTTCCCTACAATGGGCGAAAGAATTTGGCAGGGATAACATACCAATGCAGTCCTGATGAGACTAAGCCGCCATGGTGGCCGCTTGAAGTGCGACATCGAGAGCCAGATCATCTGTACAAAGCCGGTGAGTACTTTCCTTCTCTCTGCGCGTACCGACATACCTTGACTATCGATCTAGAACGAATCGAGCTGCTCATTCATATTCTTTGTGAATTACGCGCCAGCCACGGAGTCACTGCGCGCAGATTGAGAGCGGCAGATGAGATCATCCGACGACAGATATGTCCAACCGATCGAATAAATCTACTTGATGAACTATACTACGTGCGAGAGAATGAAGAGAAACTTCTCGATGGTACTCACAGTATGTATGTCTCCATACCCGTGGAGCTTATTCTGATTATTTGCAGGCGTGAATGCGAGAGTTTCAATTTCGCGGGACAACGTGCCGAACGACTTGGAACTTACCATCATTCAAAATCCCATTTGCGTAAGAAGCTCCCCACGCAGCCAGATGTCTGAAGCACAGCCGATACCTCAAGATCCTCTCATGCTCAGCGGGCCAATCCGAGAGGTTGCACACATTGTGCCACTCGATTCTGGGGCGCCTGATAGCGAAACAACACGGTCTCCTCACCAGATGTCCTTCA